GGATGGATGCATAGGTACGGCGTCACGCCTGGAAGGATGCATCAGGAGGATGTGCAGAGATGAGAGCGAGGGAGGTGGTGTTTTTCTCAATTTATCCTTGCGACCGTCGTACGCCGAGTTATGGGAGGCGAAAATGATAGAATTTCGATGAGGTCCGAGGCGGGATCCCTGTCAAAATGTGCGAGAGTTTTTGAAAAAAGTTGAAAATCCCGTGTGGAAGCTCTCGCCCTACGCAGAGCGTTTCATTCGTACGGACACTTGCCGATTAATATATAACTAATCGAAGACAGTTGACCATCTAAATTCAATGTTGCAATTTTACCCTTCAACCTACTGACGGAAGTATGGGCTTCTCGTGCTTTTATAGTGGAACAGACATCCATGATGTGATTGCGTTGCATGCGCAGGATCTCAACTCTCTCCAGCAGGGCTGGTCCGAACCCGCTCAGAGGCATAAGGGGGCTTGCGGGTCGGTCGGATCTGCCCGACACGGTCCGCAAGTTCTACTCACGTAGTATCGAGTTTAGCTATGTGGAGGGTTTTGGGTCGGGCCCAGGCCGAGATTAGATTCGAGCCCGTCGGGTAGAGTGAGGAAAAGTCGACCCGTGCAGGACAGAGATACAAACCTCGGCTAGACCACGCAGAGCGTTTCAGACGGACGGACACTCGCCGATTTAATATATGAGATGCCTTTCAATTTCCCTACCTAGACCTGGAACATCTAAGGATCATTATTGCGTCATGCGATGATGATAGTAACATACCTCTGTGACAGGCAGTATGACAATGCATATGAGAAAAGGAGACCAAGGTATTCAGCATGTGGTATACTACCATGTCAAACTTTAGGGCAACCAATGTTATTGATGACATCTTGTAGTCAACGACTTGACGAAAGGGCGAATTTGCAACTTTCTATTTTTATTCCTGAGGGGCAAGAATTCATTTTTCAGACCGAAGGATAACTGAAGAATGCTTGCTTTTCCGCTAGAGAGCTGACTCTCTCAACTGCATAGCTGGATATTCTTAATCTCATTCTCAAGAAAAGGCAAATTCTCATGAAAATTTTTCGAAATTGCATGTTTGTTTTTGTTTGTTTGTTTTTTTTCCGGATCATCGACAGGTAGGAAAGGCTGGGAAACTTTTACGAACCTGCGAACGAGGTTCCCAGGAACGGAATGCAGTTTCCCGTGAAATATGATAGGAGGGGGATGGGAGAAAATACATATATGTAGACTATCGTGAGTGAGTGAATGAGTGGCTGAGTGAGCGCCTGACGATAATTCTGTGTTCTAGATAAGATAGAAAGATGAAACTTTGTGCACAAATAGCTGTTAGGGTGCTGACTTCGGTAATAATCCGACTTAGGAGGGGAGGTACATCCCCTGGGCGTAATTTATTTTTGGGTGGGGGGGGAGAGATGTATTCCTATAATTATTTTCTCGGTCCAACGAAACGGAGAGACATAGGGGTGACATGCACCGAATCCGTTTAAGCTAAACTAATCTGATCTCACAATGGTTCCCTATGGGAATCTGTTTAACCAAGATAAACGTATTCCCATAGACGCCCATTATGAAAACGAATCAGTTTAAAGTTAAACGGATCTGGTGCATATCACCCAGAAAGCTGAAACATAGGTTCCTGTTGAGATGCGGATTTCAGGAAAATTCTTACTTTTTGGATACATTCCTTGCCGGATTATTTTTCGGGACATTTTCCAAAAATTATATAGGAAAACCCCATAAGCTCGTAGTTTTAGGAAAGTTTATTTCGGCAAAAATTCTACTTTTGAGGTCTATCACCCTGGAGCAAACATTTTTACGTGGGGATATTTCCAATAAATTAGTTTCCTTCCAACGAACCTAGCTGCTGTAGAAAACTGGGGAAAAAAGCTGAGGAGAAGTATCTGTTAAGCCGATCATTTCCCTTTCACGTATGAATTTTTCGAGCTGAAGAAATATATGCTTTTTTTTGGCTTAACGTTTAAAAAGGTACTCTGGTGTAGTAGTCCTATGTTTCAACGCTAGAAAACTACACTGAAGAGATTATGTGCACTTGAGTTCACTTCATACACCAAAAGTTTCGAGGCATGTGTATCATGGCTAAAAAAAAAAAACCATCATCATCGCCAACAATTTTGCCGTCCACTATAGTGGACACCATGCGTGAAAGGGTTAACTAAATTAAACATAGAAATTAATATGTAGTGTATTGATGGTGCTGGAGAACCTGGAGAGGTAAGGGGGGGAGGGGGCTCTGTATTGATATCTCGCACATGGCGCCAAATATCCTCAGTATCGCACTGGTAACATGTCGTCAGGGGTGTGTGGGTGTGGAAATCGCTTTCGACGAATACTAGAAACTCCGACTGTAGTTGTCGCCTCCAGACGTCCGAAAACTGAATTTTTCAATATTCTGCCATCATGCATGATATGCTCGCATTTTTCAGAGGAAGGTTGCTCCTGAAATGTTATACCGGTTCTTCTAATGTTGCTTCTTGCACTCAGAACCATGGGCCATTTACCAATAGTAAATGGAGCCTAATTAGCAAACACTACATGAATACAGTGCTTCTGGATTGACTGACTTTTACCCCTGTTTACATGTGCTATGTAATTTTCTACGGACTCCGCCGTGAATTAGCGTTTGGGAAGGGATGTTACTCCAAGGGCTTCACTCATCGATATGCACTTTCGCGATCATTGACAATTGCAATAATTAGGTGTCACTACAGTGCCGTTGGCAACGGCGCCAGGAATGGGTGGTAGGCAGGTATAAGTCCATCTGGAAACACTCCGGGCTGCAAATACCGGTAAATATCAGTTATATGGTTTTATAATGGCAATTCGCCTTATGGGACACGAAGTAGGATTGTTGAAATTTTGTGATTTTCGACTTAAAATCACGAGAGGAAAACCGTGTTGTCGCGCATTTTCACGCAAACCCGTGAATCAATATCATTTTAAGAATCGCGAACACCTACGATCGTTGCGAATGTGAATTGAACTCACGCAAAATTAAATAGCAAAAGAAAGTATGGCGGCTGGATGACACTTGATTCACGGTATTTACTTGTTCGCTGGTTCTGGTGGTGAAAAATCAATATATCCAGATATTTCAGAAATTGGTTCAGCTACTTTCACCCAACACTGGAACAAACCCTCTCACTTGGGGCCGAACTTGTGAGAACAAATTGTGTGTTGTGTGTTGTGAAAGCAATGTCCTACACACTGCAGGCAAGGTTGTGTGATGGCCGAACTAGAGGAAATCAGCTCTCAGGCGGCAAATATAAAACTATATTTTCTGTTTCTCCTTGAAGCCAGGAAAAGCTTGCTGGAGAAAATGAATTCGGATGTTGCCACGAGTTCGGACTGCGAGGAGACAGACTGAAAGAGTTTGATCCAAATCAAGACCTTTGTATGTAAGAGTCGGAAACTGGCAAAGTAGCTCCGCCGGCAAAAAAAAAAGAAGAAAAACTCACGATCACGAGCGAGTGAGTTCTGCTCGCGTCACGATCACAGTAAATGCCTTCCCCGAACCTCTGCGCTAGTTACGACTCGCGAAAAGAGTCGAGATTCACGCGTGACTCGAAGCGATCACTCGAAGCTGTACTATCAACACCCTCTAAATTGAATGCTTTTCTACATTGGTCATTTCCCTCTTCAATTGCCCACACCACAGTGTTGAAACGTTGGACCAGACTTCACATGCTTGCCGCGAACAGCTGGCTCCGGCAAATATTTTGTGGGTTTTTTTTTTTAAATAAATATTATGTATATACAATACTGCTAATATTAATTTCTTTTGAAGTTTCATGCATCCTTCCCATTTTAGCTTAGCAATATTACATATCGGATTAATCTGCTTGTCCAGATCAGATGTGGACCTCGTTGATCAGTGCCTATTAGACCCAAGATCCAAGCTCAACGTCGAAACAGCTCATACCTACACAAATGAAATCGTTATGTACAATGTTTTTCTTTCGAGTAAAACAATTTTTCATTTGATGCGGACACTCGCGCACGAGTGTCGAAGTGAAGTGAAAACACGTCTGATTCGAGTGAAAAGCACTGAACTACAGAGAGAGGAATAAAACTACACGTAGGCCTATCATCAGCTGAGGCAGCTTTTTAGGACTGATCTTGGGCAGCTCTTTCAGGAATATTAACTGCCCAGGCTCAACGTTAGCCCAACCTGCATTTGCAGAGAATGACAGACTAATCCAGGTGCAAATCCAAAGTCAACATTCAAAATTCCTGACATTCTGCTTTGCATGATGAGGACAAATGATGAATGAAAAGAGGAGCATGGACATGGATAGATGTGCAAGAAGAGGACACATGGGTGTCTTCTTTTTTTCCTTTAAAAAAGTGCTTATACCATTGGTTTTTGCCAAAGGAAAAAGAAGAGGGGCAGATAAACATGACATGAAGGCATCACTCTTGGGGTATTGCGATACGAAGTGAAATTATCATTGGAGATGTTGCATTGAGAATTAAGACCAAACCATACAAGACTTGCCTCCAGCTTTGTCATCATCTTTATTACTGTCTTTGTATTGAAATCTCTTTGATAGGAGTAAAATGATCTTGCCTGACCACTTCAACAAGCAGAAAGTAATAGTCACAATAACCTGCATTGGAGGTGGTGTTATTCCTGATACCAAAGTGAATCAGGTATGGGTCATCAGAAAAACAGGTGGACCCTATTTTCCAGATGACCGAGGATGTAGAAGCTTCATAAAATACTAAAAATGAGGAGAAGTCTCATCCAGATCAGGTAGCATGGATAAAGCTCCCCTCAATATGAATGAGGTTGGTCTAGTCAGGATGAATTAGTTGAGACAATTAGGTTTTAGTTGGTTTAATAAATAATTATTTCCATTACTGTTCGAAAGCAGGTTCCACTGATGCCATCCTTGAAATCTTGAAGTCAGTTTAGGCCTAAGGCCTTTAGTGGAGAAAACAGTAGATACATAGTGATATTCTCCCTGAAAGATGGGTCAGAAGAACAGTAAACTTAAGCCTGAAGTTCTGGAAGACCTAAGACAGAACACCGAGTTCACAGATGCAGAAATTCAAGATTGGTATAAAGGGTTCCTCAAGGATTGTCCAAGTGGTCATCTTAGTGTAGAAGAGTTCAAGAAAATCTATGGGAACTTCTTTCCATATGGTGATGCATCAAAGTTTGCAGAGCATGTATTTCGAACCTTTGATACCAATGGAGATGGTACAATAGACTTTCGGGAGTTTCTTTGTGCCCTCTCAGTGACCTCCAGGGGAAAACTGGAACAGAAAGTGAGATGGGCATTCAGCATGTATGATTTGGATGGGAATGGCTACATATCTAGACAAGAAATGCTGGAAATAGTGACTGCAATCTACAAGATGGTGGGATCAGTCATGAAGATGCCAGAGGATGAATCCACACCAGATAAGCGAACAGAAAAGATATTCAAGCAGATGGACAAGAACAAGGATGGGAAATTGTCCTTGGAAGAGTTCATTGAGGGTGTCAAGAGTGATCCGTCAATAGTTCGACTACTACAATGTGATCCCCAGGCCAATTCAGATGGTTGATGGATTTCCTTGGTGTAATATATATTTCCATGCATCTCATCCTATGGTTTGAAACTATTTGTTCACTTTTTGAAGCAATATTGTGGCATTCTATAACTTCATCAATCATGTGCATTGTACTACAGCGAATAGCATTTTTCTTTTCCTTCAGCCAAATCAAAGGCATTGCACAACTTCACCTTACATACTCAGCTTCCTCAAAGTTTGGTGAGTGACAAAGGTTTCCTGCCTCAAGACCATTACTGGCCTGGAAAGCCCTTACATAACTAGGTTACTTTCTTCTAGGCTATAGGCATCCTGCAGAAGCACTTCAACTTGTAAATAATATAATGAGATTAATTTCTAAGTGCTGGCTTTCATCTTTGGTCTAAAAAAACCACAAAAAAGATACCATCATGAGATGGTTCTTCATGAACTGGTTTACTATGGAATTCTCTCCTGGATGTTCCCTTTGATTCACCAAAATGTCATTAGAAGTGCCATTCTTTTTCTGCAGGCATTCAGCAATGCTATCTAAGTGCTGATATTTCAAATGAGGAATTATAAAAGAAAAGCAAGTAGTGCTATCCTGTGGAATCTCTTCTGCACTTGCAGACAAGTCTTACCAAGGCATCAGCTAATATGGGTTTTAGGACTTCTATAGCATTTTGAGAGAAAGGGGCAAGTGGTGTAACCCATGTTTCAGCTCTACAGTCTCTTTTGTGTTTGCAGATCCTTTGAGTTTCATCAATAAAGGGTTGACTCAGTTCAAGAACTCTCCTTGGGAGTTGAATCAGTGAGAATAAAAAGGGCCTAATTGAATACAAATGCCATGCCAAAGTTGAGCTCTTTCACTCAAAAGGAACAGCATGCTCCAGACGTTTATGATGCCAAGTTGAGTCCCTTTCATTCTCACTGATTGAATTAATCCTGTGTGTGATATTAATTATTGATCAATTAAATTTTTAAATCAGAGACAAATAGGACTAAGCAAGTGGATTCCTTTTATTTTCATCTAGTTGAAGAGAAAAATAGACAGCTACTCAAGTTGTGGTGGTACTATATGATCAAACATGACTTAGTATTAAAGTTGGTTGCTTTTCACTTGTACAATGTGGGTGGCCAACCTGCTTGTGATTATTCACATTTGGAAAGACACACAGAAAGGAAAGAAGTCATTCAGAGTGGGTTTTTTTCAATGCTTATTAGCCACCTAGTACAAATTCAATTCTAATGACTATATGCATGATTCATGTGTAATAGCTGTTTTAGATGATCTTTGGATCCCTACCTAACTTGTTCATTATGAATGCATGCAGTGAATACGCTCTGCATAATGCATTTTACTGTTTCCCATAACATGTTCAACTGGACCTTGGTGTGTTGGTGTAAAGAAAGGGAGATATTGTAGATGCAACAGAAGAGATGACTATTGAAAAATAGGTGCCTAATAGGAACATCTTAATTGAAAGCTTATGCAACAAAAAATGCTCCATGGCTTGAATAGGCTGTCAAAGCTCTTTATTCTCATTAATGAAATCATTTTCAGTAAGAATTGTAGATGTTTTTTTGGTGCTAAGGCAGGCTCTGATGCATCTTTCACAGGTGGAGAACCCAAGAGTCCATCCATCCCTGCAACTTGAAAGAAAACCTGGGAAATGTGGCAACATTGATTCCATTTCATATTACTGCAACCTCTCCTATGCTTATGAGGGCATTCTTTTTGGTACCCTATGAAGTATCTTGTATGTGCAAGTATTATGCTGAACTTGATATGGTACAGTGAGGTTTTTGGGTGTCATTGCATGAATGCTGGTGAATGTGTATGATTTGTGTCTCCTTTGCAACATCGGTTCTCCTAGAGAGGACATTTTATCTGCCTTGGCTGTGATACCCTGCCTTTCCACCATGAAACGATGACATTGCATCTTGATGTATCATGTACATGCTTAGGTATCTATACAGTAAGTTCCTTGAGATCAGATGCTCACTTAGTGCTTTTCTGAATTTAAATCTTTAGGAAAACCCTTTCTTGAGCATGCCTTGCACAAGGGAAACCTTTAATGGAGGCCTCATTAGAATCACATACCTATTGCACAAACATCATGAAAAACGTCATATGGTCATCCTCTGTCAGCTCAATAAGGATGTGTCATTCAAAAAATATGCTTTCCAGGTGAAAGGTATAGATTTCTCTCTTTTGGAATTTTCATAATTTAAATTATGGAATACACATGATGGAAAAAGCCTGCTTGAAGTGGGTTAACACTCACCATAAACCTGATTTTTAAATTCCATTTTTAGGTGGTTTATGGTGCTTTCTCTCAAACTTCAAAGTTCTGTGGCTCAAAACTAAAAAGAAAAGGAGAAGGGATGATTTCTAAGCAACAGACACAATCATTTGGGCATATGAGTACTTCCAACATTTTTGGACAGGCATCAGTTACATGTCCACATCCTGAACTTTCAGAAAGCCACTGCATTCATTCCTGTGACTGATAAAAGCCATTTGACATCTCCTTTACAGTAGTTTGTTGGAGGATATCTAATTTAATTCTACATGAAGTGGTACACATTATGGAACCACCATTACTCAAATAATCAGCTAGGCACATCAATCTTGGAGTAGATATGTCATCCCATCAAGTGAAACTGTCACAGCCAGACTTTAAATTCCTGTTTCTTCATCCCCATTTCCATTTTCTTCTCCTGTGATACCCATCATTGTTGAACCTCCTCACCATCATCCATGTTATGAAAGGATTTCATCACAGTGAATGAGAGACTGCCTGTTGTACATGGATGATTGGTTAATTTTTTCCCTCTTCTCATTGATGTGTCAAATTTGTGAAGCTGTGGTTTATTCTGTTTGGAGAACAGACTGAAGTCAAGAATGGTGGCCAGCAAACTAATGCAAACTAAAGAAAGCCTCAGTTTAGGTTCATTTCTCCCATTAACATTGGAGTTTAAAATAGTTTTTTATGTGTGGAAATATCTACCACAGCTCATGGTATGATATCAGCCTGTTCTTCAAGTGGAATATTCTCTATTCTCAAAATTCATTACTCTGTGATTATTATTTCACCAGTATAGAAATGAAAACCTGAATTTTCTTGTACTGGTGATGGTCCAAGAAAGAAATAGACTTGACATAAATGCTTATCTATTGCTGCAGAGATGTAGAAGAGATTTGGCCATCCTCTCACATGTTACACATGAGTTCTCAGCTCACTCAGGAATTTCTCCTACAGGAAGACTAAATACACGTCAATGTAAATTCTGGTGTAAAGAATGTTCCAAAGAGAATATATTCATAAATGAAAGTGTCTGCTCTTGCTTTATGTTGTTAAGGAATTGCAGATCACTGTTTCATAACAATCTAGAGAAATAATGGTGTCTAGAAGTCAAACAGGGTAAGTTCTATAAATGCTTTCTCCATGTAAATACATGTAGTAGGAATCATAGCCAAGTCCCAAGCAGACAGGAAATAAGCATTTTCCTAACTCAGATCCCATAGGTGTATCCAATATAAAGCAAAAGATTTGCCCCATTCTGACTAATTGCAAGAAAACTGGTCAATAGTCTGATACTAAAGGGTGTTTCAAAAGTAACCATGCAGGAGAGACATAATCACTCCTCTATGGGAAAGATAAACCATTCATGAATACACCTTTATTACTAATGATTAAATACAATTAAAATACCACAAAACAGATAAGAGGTAACAGAAGACCATATTCAACTGAGATTCATAAACGTTTCGGCAGCAAATCCATAACAATAGCTGCAGATGTGAAATAGCTATTTCATTACATTGCACAGTTACTTTTGAAACACTCTGTATTTCTCAGACTGACTCAAGGCTACTCAAAGATTCTTGTTCACTCATCACCACTGTTGCAGAATGACCAAAGGGTTTTTGCATGGCATTATTTTCAGAATGCTCTTTCATACATCTGAAGGGGACATGAAGGAATCAACTCTAGTGGGGATGATCTGAAGTTGTATCTTTGATGTGCTGGTCACCCAAAGCAACAAAAGCACTACCTGCGTCAATTAAGAAAATGTTTTTTTTCCATGTCTACTAGAAGGACCTCAGAATTATGAACTGAAGGTTCAGGAAAGCTATTTAAAAAATAGAGTCAAATCTGTAAATACATAAATACCTAATTTAGGTCTACTTTCTGTGTCTCCAGATGCAGCAACATATGAGCATACTGTGTCAAGAAAATTCTTTTTTGACCAAATCCTTTCTTTACAAGGAAAGAGTAATTGTTTCTAGAATGTGATCCACTGAACATCATTCCACTGTAATGACCTGATGTCAGAAGAAATCCCTATAAGAAGGCATGACCTCACTCATCTGTCTGGTATCAGGCTCTCACATACAGACATCAATGCTGAAAACCAAGGGTAAGAGAGAAGCTGGTATCTCTTATAGAAACATGAACTTGTATTTTTCAAATTCTTGACTTAATGTGTACATTTCCATATACAAAGGTCCTGCATTCCTAATTGCTTGCCTATGGATGCTTTTATCTGACATTAGGTGTAGGTTATTACAGGATAATGTTCTGACTGGGCAACTTGTTACTCCCCTGCCTCTTTCTTTGATTTATTTCAGGAATGAAAATTACAATTGACATATTAAAGTTAGTAATATTTTTGTTCCTGTTCCTGATGCCAAAGGATGAAGTACCTGTGATGAGGGTTCCAATTCTTTTTTGAGGAGATTGTCTAAATTACCATTTACTCTATTCTTGTACCAGGATTAAGAAGTTTAATGTAGTGTTTCACTTATACTGAAATGCTCACCCACACCTTGCTGTGGGTTTAATGACTCACCAAAATGAAACCACACACAATAACATCTCAAGGAATGCAGCAAGTTGGAATACTTAGTATATATACTGTACACTCAAATGGACCAAAGTACGAGCAGTAATCTCCAAAGCACTTTCATAACTTGAAATTCTGATTAGCTTGCAGTATTTTCTCATTTCATGCTATTTCTCCTTTTGGAGTACCAACCACCTTTTTTAAAAATGAAGTTATCAATGTTACTCAATAGTGTACATGACAGGCTGGAATTTCCTGCTTTCAGTATACAGATAATTATTGCTTGGCTTGGCTGCAGATGTCAACATTGGTATGTTTCACAATGGCTCATGAAAATTAAAAGACAATTTCAGCATGCATGTTGTCTTTCTGAACACGTTCTTCACGTAGAGAAGTTTGCTTTAGAGCTTGTGAAGTTCAAATAATTATGATTTTGAGATGCACCAGTCTCTCAGCTGAAGTAATTTTTAGCATCTTTTCCCCATTGCTGGGCATGGTATTTGTTTCATTATTTGTAATTCTGCCTGAAAATGGTATTCAAAATTTTGCATGAACCACCAAGGTTGTGTCCTATTGTTAATGACATTGCACATGTTATGATACTATGGTGTAGGAACATAAGAATTCCCTTTGCTTTTGCTATTCAGTCCACATTTTGAGGCTTGAGGAAATGAATTTCACCCAAGTTCTTTTGTTGGGAATTATTCCTTGCAAGCATTGAAGCGATTCATGGATGTGTTGACAGGGATTTGGAGTATATTTTTCTGCATTAATTTTTTGACTGATTTCTTTCACGTTTGCAAGTTCAGGAGAGGAGGTAGAAAATGGGATGGAGCTACTTCTCCTTCTTGTCAATGACCTCCATGTGAGATGTGTCCTAAGCATTGAAGATCAATGCTCTGTATATGATCTCACCCTTGTATTATAATCATGTTTTCTGGCAAAGGCTTACACATTTCCTTTGTCACCTATGAATATTGGTGTACATTGTGCAATTTTCAGTGGATTCTAGTCACATGTTTAGTCATATCTGCTTTGACCTTTAGCTTTCTCAATTTCTTACCATCTGAGTAATTAAGCATTCATATTGCACCCTTCCAAAGTAAAATTCTTGGCTGAACTGCATATTCACCCAATAGTGAACAAAATGCCTCAACAAGGTCAAGAGTTACAATTGAGGACTTTCTTATTGAGACTCCATGGTGCACATATGGCAAGTAATCACTGTTATGGAAAGACACTTTCAGTGATCATTGCTCACATTCTTTCTTTGGTACCTGCTTCAGATTGTCTAGGAGATGTTCAAAAACTCCAATGGCTGTTTTTCATATGTTATGACTGATGTCTTGAATATTGGTCTCCTGTCATCCTGTTGAATTTTGGCTTTCTCTTGTTCCTTGTGATGCATAATAACAGTCAAAAAGTTTTACCTTGTCTTTTTTATTGTAAAACATGAAATAGTTATCCTACAGAAAAATTCATTAGAACTAGTGTTTAGGCTGAAGCATTTGTTTGGAAGAAAAACATTTTTCAGATGCTGGTTCAGCTAGGACTCTTGTATAAATAGTGACATGAGACTGAATGGAAAAAATTAAAACAAAAACAGGAGGTGATGTGCCAGTCACTTCTAAATGCAAGCTCCAGGCCACTGGATTGTGTGGATGTATTTATAGGTTTTCTAGGCCAAGTGTGATAATGAAGTCAAATGTGACAAGGAAATTCTAATGCAATGCTTTGCTGCTTGGAAGCATCAAAAGTGCCATTAACCTTTACATGCCGAGCATTTCCATATTCAAACAGAACATGTCAGTGGAAAAATTATAATTTTGCCACTTTCAAAGAGCATGGACCTTTCCACACCTCTATAATGAAAATTCCATGCTCTTTGAATATGGTAACGCTTGAATTTTACCACTTTATGCTCTGTTTGAATTTGGAAACATTTGGCACCTCAAGGTTAAAGAAAGTCAAATGTGTCACTGTGGTGGATGTAGAAATTTAGGGAAAAGCATGTTCTACATAAGGTCAAATGTGACATAAAAAAGGTATACCAAACCAGTGTTGGGGGATGCCCTCTTGTTGCATTTTCACAACATGCAGCTTCAGGCCCATTCACATATATTGCTCCTTTTGCAGTTGATATTATTTTGCAATCACTGATATGTAAGGGTTGATCATAGGAATATGCTACCACCAAACCACTTGGGGAGGGAGGCCAGATTTCACATTAGAAAAAAATGAAGATATGGGGTTCCCCTTAACCCTCAACTGTTTTTTTTTCATTGTGTAACTGGGTTCATAAGATCAAATTGACCCTAGCAAAAAAATCCTCAATGAAATGAAGTTCTTTTTGAGATGAATAGTCATTTATCATGGCAGTTTCCTGGCTACCTTCCTTGTCTTGACAGTATGGTGGTGGCATATTCCCAGGACTAACCTTGATGTATTGATATTTGCCAAATAATATTAATTACAAAAGGGCTAATTGACTTTCTTAATGTCGAACATGCTTTTCCCTAAAACCCAACATCCACCATAGCGATGCATTTGATGTTCCTTATGTCATTTTTGATACTCTCAAGCAGCTCAGCAACACATTTGACTTTCTCTTGTCCACATTTGACATGGAAAACCTATATTTCTCTGAATCAAAGAAAGAATGCAAGATACATTAAATTGTATTATGCCTAGCAGGTATTAGGTTACCCAAGTCCTCTGAAAAAAATCTTCCATCTAAACCTTTCAGTGGGGGATCCCCCCCATGTCTTTATAGAACTTACAGCACCAATCATTATTTGTAACACTCCAAAGGCATACCCTTGCCTAAAGATGAGCTTATTTATATATCCTGAGTCTGGAGGTTTGGACCTGTCTGCTGCAATGCCTTCTGAGAGACTTCCAAAATAGTATTTTGAACCAAGACAACAAGCAAAAGATCAGTCAGCAGAAGGTACACATAATGGAACTATGTTGTTAAGCTCTATCATAAGAGACTCATCTGCTGGAGTAAAATCCATTTCCCAAGACCGAATATAGGACACTCCCAGGTTGAGCCTGCTCTGACCCATGAGGTGGGATGCATGAAACACCCCCCAGCATCAATCAATTGCCAAGAGATGCCTCACACAGACACATTCTCAATTTTTCCTAACGGCTCTACTCTAATAATAAACAATTGCAATGAAGATGCCATGAACATGATGTCATTTATGCTCATTCTTCAGAATGTCACTAAAAATGATAAATGCCAAACTGAATTTTCAGTGTATCAGAACAAGGCTGGGGTTTGTCAAATCCTTCAAATCACCTCTCAATTTCCAGGTTAAATTGGAAATGATTGTCTTAAATATCTGTGCATGTAAGGAAACCATGCAATCAATGCAACGTAATGGAAGGATTTGTGCAATCCTGATCCAAAAACAAGGCCTGGGGCCTGTACCTTGCCTCTGCTAAACTTAAACCTAAAGGGTCAGGGCAAAGAATAGACTTATTGCTTTTTGACTGCTTTTAAATTTAGATTTAGATTTAAGTTTAGCAGAGCAAGGAACAGGCCCCTGGATACAGAAAATGACAAGAAAAGTGCCTAATTACAAAGTCACTCTAGCTCTCACCTATCAAGTACAAATTCAAACCTCCAAGAAACAGGTGGGAGGGGGGCTACCAAGGCAAAGAAGCAACAAACAGGGGAGGTGGTCCAAGAATACAGCTCTCATATGGGATGGAGTCCACATTCTGAGAATGGTCAAGAACTGTTGCTCTACACACTTAAAGATTTTATGTACTGGATAGTACTAGGGATAGAGCCTGGTGCTGAAAGCAAAATTCTTTTGGAATGTGACACAAAGGCTGGGATCACTATCACAGAATTCTTAGATATCTGTTAGACAAGTAGATACCAAGACTCCATATAAACTCCTTCTTTCTCAGCTTCCTCTTGCCATTGCAACACAACAGCAACTTCCAGCATCTTGAGAAACTCAGTCTTTAGTTTTAAACCAAGCTAAATGAGTGCGAAGATGACTTCTTGAGCTTCATATATTTATTGGTGTTGGAGAAAAAGGGGGGTTATATTGGATATCTGACAAACAAGGGGATCTCAGGGTTCTGCAAGAATTACACCTTTTGATAGCCAATGTAAAAGACTGTACCAAAAAAAGAAAGAACATTCTTTAGTTGAAAAAACATTACTCACAGAGTATATGCAAAAAAGAAATGGCCATATAAAAAATGGCAAGGAACCATAATCCATTAGTTTAACAAATTTTACTGAACCAAGACCTTGACTGCACCAGCAACAACTGCAGAGGTAGTGAAATATCTGGCTGGGCATTTGTATACAAGAGTACAGGGAAGTTGTGAACATGCTGAAACTAATCAACACAGCTAGATCTTTTTCCCATATAGGTATTGGCAATACTTTACATTTTGATCCAAATCAGTGACATAAGACAAGTGCTAGTTTGGGCATGCTCGCCGCAGTTGAAAATCACTGGCTTAATGTACATAGAAAAGTGAAACGCTTCATGCACCACATTAATTTATTACAATGAGATTATGCAACATCTCAAAGCTTCATGGGTGCAGGAGGCTTCTCTTCTGCAGCATTCAATTTTGCCCTTTTCAGCTGCTTGGTTTTTGAGAGGTTGTGTTTCTTCGCAAACCTCAAATTCTTGAGGAACTTTGAATCCACCTAAAAAAAAAGAAAGGAGAAAATCATGCTTGTCAAGATTATTGGCTCTTGAACCTAAGTAGAAACCTGCAATAAGGATCACAAGAGAGCTGAGAATGTAATTGTTAGAATTGTGCAGGACAAACATAAAACATGATTTGCTGACAGATTAGTGTACTCATTGAAAAACCAATATTGATGACTCTGGGATGAATGGGAGTGAATCTCAACACTTACAGGTCATGTCCTAGCATAAAAAAAGTCAACAGACTGGAATTTCAGAGGCAATTAACCCTTTCGTGCATGGTGTAGTGGACGGAAAATTTTTTTGGATATAACGATGGTATTTCAGCCATGATACACATTTCTCAAAACTTTTGTAGCATGCATTCAACACGAGGGCACATAATCTATTCAGTGTTGCTTTCTAGCAGTGGAACATGTGACTACTACGGCAGAGTACCTCCTTAAAAGTTGAACCAAAAGGGCATATTTTTATTTTGCTATACAAATTCATAAATTCATGCATGAAAGGGTTAAGGCCACTTTCAGAATAACATACTTTTATGCAGTTTTTAGCACTATTGCTATTGTACTTTAAATTTCTATGTCCTATATATCGTTTTTATATTTTGTATAAATTTTCCACATCATACCATATATTCTATAATATACTTTAATTAAATAACTGAAGATTACTAAACTGATGGGTGAAGGAAGGCCTCCGATGGGAGTCGAGTCATGCATAATTGCATCCATTGCAGCGTAACTTGGGGTGGAAAGTCACGAGAATTCAAAGAAATTACCGTGGACACAATGAAAATGCAATTTCCATTGGAATGGATGCCAGGTCTGAAAGGGTTAAGGGAAAATGTAAATGAGTACATTTTCATTCCTGACAAGATAACAACATAAAAGCCATATCTAGCATCCTGAATCTGGTCTTCAGTTTTGCATCAGTTTTTTGGGAACTATGGTTTCGTGATGCAGTCTTTCACAAGCTGTATATCGCAAAAAAATTGTCGGAAAACAGTTTGGGAAGTAAAACTGGGATTAAGTGTGACATGCCAGAACCAGCATTCCTTTTTTTCTTGATACTGCTGAGAACTGACTTGTTTCACATTGTTTATTGTCTATAATTTAATTCCAACTTGCAGGCAGGATTCAGAACAAATTCAGCAAGAAAATACAGGGTGGGCCAAAAAAAAAGAGACAGTTTTCAACTATACATTATGCTTCACCCACTGCACATATTTTAATGTGATTTGCAGCAGTTGAAAGAGGAATGAAAAAGCTTTAAAATGAGGTTTTTACCTTTCAAATATCTTCAGCAGTTTCAGAAATTTGGAAGCTCATATGAACAGCAAACAAAAACTGTGTTGCCACACTCTCAGAGGCAGATGGCATGTGTCCTTCAGTTATGAAGACCACTGCCTGTCCATCCCTGTCCATTCCAACATATTTTTTGGCTGGTGTTTATATGAGCTCCCGAATTCTGAAACTGTTGAAGATATCTGAAATGTAAATACACCATTGTAAAGCTCATTCATTCCTCTTTCAAATGCTGCAAACCGCATTAAAACATATGCTGTGGGTACAGTATGGTGTATTGTTGAAAACTGTCTTTTTTTTTGGCCCACCTTGAAAAGACTCCTTTCCCACTGGGCTTTTGCTAGCAGAAACTGAAACTATGTCACAAAAGAAAACTTACTTCAACCATATTAGTTTCATGCTGCAAAGGGGTATACTCCAGTTAAATAAGATATTTCTTAGCTCAACATAAAAGAATAAATTAAAGTTTTATAGCAGCCTTCTCACTCAAGTAGAGCTGGCAACATGAGATCCACAAAAGAGCAGTTTTGTTCCCCATTAGCCTCCACTCAAGTTTCTGGTGCTTTAGCACTTTGGGACAGAATCTCAGATAGTACTAGTAAGAGAGTAGACATATTCTTATTTAAAGACTGTTGTTATTGAAATTAAGAGGGCATTACTACTAAAAAGTCCAGCAATGGCCACTGAGGGAAACATACATAGTGACTCAAAAGCCACTCATTTGTTTTCTTTATATCTTTGCTTGTTATGAATATTTTCAAGTGAAATTTTCACACGAGTGCCAAGTGGTGGAAAATTGTTTTTTTCTAAGCATCAAACTTCCAGTTCTAGGCTTAGAATGGCAGAAGGCCACTTGGTTTTTAAGCAGTGCAAAATGGCCCACTTAAAGAGACACTTTTGGTTCATTAACTCCAATGCTACATGAATTCTGAAGAAATTTTGAAGTTTGCAACATTCCTGATGCCAAAACTAAACATGAAACACATCATACAATTTTGGAGGGAGATTGATGTAGGAAATTTCCCAAGATATGTCCAGAGTTGCAAACAAGGCTGTTCAGACATAGCTTAAGGGCATTGAAATTGGTGGTCTGTATGTGGAAGTGTAGTTCAGGCTGGAAATTTGATTTTCTCATATTGAAACAAAATTCTCATGTATGCTCTAAAGAATTACGTAGTTGGCTGCTGTGAATCTGAATGAATATTGGAGAAAAACATTTTGGAAACTAAGGAGGGACTTTTGAATCACCTTGCTTCATATCACTGTGGCCAAAGCCAATCAAGAACACCACCAGCATACATTTTTCTATCCCATATATCTTATCTATCCCATTTTGGAATATGCAGTTGAAATGTGGGACCCCTTTGAATAAGTGAAAAGGAAGAATTGGAGAGAGTACAAAAGCAAACAAGTGCTCAATGATTAATATAGGGATCTTGAATCTGATGCTGTAGAACAGAGATTTGAAAAGTAGACCTTGAACATAAGGAGCAAAAATACCAATTTTTTTAGATTAAGTTATAAAATCATGAATAGCAGGCAGAGCTTGTCTCTGCTTCAAAAATACACAGACACATTTAAGTACTTTTTTCCCATGGGCAGAGATGGATAAGGAAGTACTTCACCATGTAAAAATAAACCCACTTGCATTGAAATTTTTAAAAGTATTTTTTAAATTCTAATCACCCACCCCTTAGCCTGTTACAGTAATTACCACATGATTGTATTGAGCTGCATTTCCAGCTGTGTTCTTACAACTTTATGTAAATTGGAATGTTTCACAAGAAGTCAAACCCACTCATTGAGTGCTAAGAATGTAAATATAAATGTGGTAAGAATTTAAAGAATATGAGAACATAAATATAAATTTTTTCTACTATATTCTTAATCTGGTTGCATAAATTTACATCACTAAATAGGAACATATAAAAATCTCCAACAATACCTAACTCTCAAATTTGAGAAAATCTTTGAGCAGATCAAGTCTCCCATTTTTGTCCAATTTTCCATATTTACTGATGGGATGGAAAAAATCAAAGGTTTTCCCTAGAAAAATTCTGAATCCTGAATGCTGATAATCTATCCTCCCAGTCCCTCATGCAAGAGACCACTTCATAACATGGAATGATAATTACTCAAATAAGCACTTTCTGACTCATCTGCAATTTCCCCATCAAAAACTCACCTTGAGAATAAAAAAATAACACAACATATAAATTTAATGGAGATGTTTATCATGAGTAGAAACCTTGGGTCAGCAAGTCATGAATCCCTTTGAGTATAAGAAAAAAAAGAGATTTACAGTCATCATGCTTTTAATTTAGGCCCGTTTTCAAGGCAACAAATAGCCAAAATCCTGCATCAAATAAAAACTCTGATGGTCTTCATGCCAAGACAGCATATACAGTGCCGGCAGAAAGTTTACGGTAATCCATTTTTTGGAGATGTTTTTATGATTAGTTGTATGATTAAAATGCCTACGTTGCAATGATATGCAATGTAAACGTGTGAAACATTTGTACAAACACATCATTGTTCATAAACTCTATTCTGCCAAAGCTATTATCTGTAGCTACTGAAATATGCAAGTAGGAGTATTTCCAAAATGTGATAATTTAACCTAGTGTAGGAAAAACATGCAAATGTTAGCAAGCATGAGTCAAAATACAGAGCAGTTTCTCAATGTTGATGACAATTTATTCACGAGCACACAGGAAGCAATGAATATCAGTACTTTGCTGGATATCCATGATTCCTCATCACTGTCGAGATTCTCCTAGGCATTGACTCGATGAGCCTGAGGCACTCCTCAGAAGTGACTTCATTGCACCAAGCATGCATGATCTGCTGTTTTAAGTCATGCAAACTGCTAGGGTTGCACCATGCCACCCATCTCTTCATGATGTTCCACAAATTTTCTATCGGATTCAGATCTGGACTGTTTCCAGGCCAGTCCAGCACCTGAACCCCTTGGTCTTGGAACCATTTCATGGTATGTCGGGATGTGTGGCAGGGTGCCTTGTCTTGTTNCGGGCAATCATTTTATCATCCCGTATTGTTGTTTTTCTTGGTCGGCCAGAACGTGGTGCAACTGCTGTTGAACCATTCTCTCGGTGCTTCTTGATAATGAGACTCACTGCCTGCTGGGATAAACCACATTCTCTTGCAATCTCTTGCTGGGTCATTGAGGTGTGGCCTGACAAAGTGATGATTTTCACCTTGATGGCCTCTGTCAATTGTTTTGCCTTGCCCATCACTTCTTGTGCATAAAAAATGCAGCAACCACACCTACAGTAACCCTGCAGATGCTGTGCAGATATGTTGATGATATTTCCTTGCTAATGGTTGGTTCGATCCTATGCACTTTATGGTTCAGTACACATGCTGACTTGTTTAGGCATAGAGACACAAGATGTCTTGAGCTTAACCTACCACATAAACGCGCACTTAGCATACTCCTTGGCAAACCCACGTCTGCAGCTATAACTAATCAATTAGCCAGCATGATATATTTACCCTGGGAAGCAGCATTTTATCGCAATTGTGATTGAAGCTGTGAATGAACAATTACCATAAACTTTCTGTCGACACTGTATACATCAAGGCATAGCAAAACTTTGTCTAAATCAAAGTTCAGCATATGCCCTGAGAAAGCCCTGAAGCTACAGAGGCTAGAGTTTAACTAGAGTCACATGACAATCACATAGGACTACTTACTCCTCTTGTTGACATGTGACGTGGGATTTTTGGTCTCCTGATCCCATTCCGATGATCCTTTCGATCTAAAACAGGAAAGCAATTAAATTTCATAAATTGGATCCAGACTTCTAGGCTTAATATTACAGAGGATCTTCAGGAAATTATCATTAGAACTCCCAAAAATCCAGTGGTCTCAGCTATTACCAAACTTCTAAACACTCTTAGCTAAAATGAAAAAGGGGGGGATATGTCTATTGCTAATATTAAACATGATTGTTTCAGAAGACTGAATATCCTTAGGTTCATATACTGAACAGGGTATCCATAAAAGAATGAAACACATATAAAAATTAGTAACATTCTTGTAAAACAATGACACATAGACCAAGAGGTAAAGAAACTATGGAAGTTTTTTTTCTAAGTGTACATTTTGAGCACCTCACCATCTCTTTCTTGACAAATTCATTAATTCCTCAAAAAGTGCATACAAAGTGTAAACAATGGCGACCATGCTGCAGATGCCTTGGTGCATCCTATGGCTTACAAAATTTGACTGCCACACAAATGCAGTATGATTTTTTGCAGTTTACAATGAAAAACCACTTTTAAGTAGTGCCATCACAAGGCAGTACAATTTGATGAAACTGGCAACATAGAAAAAAAGGAAAGTCCAGAGCTCATCTAAACATATCAGATGTAGGTTCTGTTCTTCAAATTATTTGTACCACCTTGCAATGAAATTGTGGGAAGGTGATTTTCCCCTATGAACCCATGCTGCATTTGTGTGGCAGAGTCAAAATTTTCAAGCCCCAGCATACACTGAGCCTTCTGATGTATTATCACCATTGTTTACGCTGTGTGCAAGCTTTTTGGTGCTAAGAAACCTTTTAGATTTTCTTTATCTTTCAGTCATTGTTTCATTGTTATATTAGAGTAGTTTGAAAGTTACTCCTTTTAAAATAAATTTTAAATTAAAAAATGAAAGGAAATTTGATGATGCAATTATTTAATTGCTTCATTAATATATATTGACACCCTGTATATCAAAGATCTAGGCCTGGGTGCATCTTATAAGCAATACCTCTAACATTGCAGGGCCACAAAAATTTACAAGAAATCAGCATAAGTTTTCTTTAGTATGCATGTAATTTTTGTTATAGATTTGCTCAACTCTTCTATACTTCTTGGCCAAGTACTATTTTCCCTAACTTAGTGATTTGGTTGCATTGTTGGGTTGCCCAAGCTTAAGCATCCTAGACTTGATGTTTGAGCACCAATGTTCCATCAAATTTATTACATTGTTTAGCATATCTGAAGCTGATACTCAAGAGACACTCAAGGATGGGTCAAGAGATGAAGCACTTTGCTCTATACCTGAAAATCAAAAGTTACATCAGTACCTTCACATTCCATTTTGATAGCAACAACAAGGAAATAGAAATTACAGTCACAATCATCACCTCTACAATTACAGTCACAATCATCACCTCTACAATTACAGTCACAATCATCACCTACTTGTGTGATGTTACTCCAAAGCTTGGAATTTAATGTTGGAAGTAGATACAAACATGGTTATTGATTATACAATTTAAATGTATATATATTTGTCATTTGGGCACCTAGCTGCTCACTTGACAGATGGAACACCAAGTGTACAATATCTCAAATAGAAAAGAAAACTAATGAGCATCATGTCACATCTCTGGACAGTACATAACTCTCCATGAGTTTATTCCAATCTTTAAAGTCAAATTGGAACCTTTGGGCTGTTTCTGTATTGGACTAATTTTAAACCTGAAAATGCAGTGATGGGTGCTCCAAATTGCAAATGAAACCAGATCAAAATGTCTTGAATACAACTACTCTTGGCAAAAATCCAGTCCTTAACTTTTTGAAAACCTCTTTTATAAGGCAGCCCACATAAGCAAAGGATGAGCCTATCACAAATATATCACATTAAACTAACAGTCTGGATCTTCTGGATAGAATAGGTATAACAAAAAAATGGTGGCACCATTACCAAATGCATACCTTTGGTAGGTCTTCACCACAGGCATGGCTCATGGAACTCAACGATTGCTTATATATGTCTATTTATGAAATACCATGAGAATGTAGAGATCTTAAAGTTAAATCTACATGGTCCAGAGCTCTTACTCTATATTTATTAATGACATGCAGAAGAAATGTATCAATGATTCTAGAAACTCACTCTGATTATGATTTGTGTGATTCTTGGTCTTTGCCATTTTTAGGCAGTGCTACTTGCACACTAACCCACACCTGAAAAATAAAAAATTAAAAAAACAGCATAAAAGCATGTGCTTTAACTCTAGCTTAGGCTAGCCTGTAGACAGGTTCAATTTGCTATTTGGCACTACTCGCAAAGTTGATGGAATTCAACACTAGGCTTAACCCATGCTCAGTTACATTATCATGACAGGCAACCTCATTGCATCATTCTATTTGAAGCCATCCAAAACGTCGTTTCAGAGAACAGCAAAACATGATCGCCTCTAGTACAGGCCATTAAGGAACCTGAGAAACGCTAGATGGAATATCTGGACAGCAAAATAGTTCGAGTTTCGCTGCTTTCCCTGTACCTGTGCTCAGGGCTACCTCGGATATTGTCAGTATCCTTTTACCCGTCATTACTAGCTCCCAGAAAGTACTTCTTTCTGCAAAAACATTAGTAAATATGTCATCTTTTTACCTTAGTGGCATATTTCACCCCAAATTCTATATTCAAATGAACGAGCATGCACGATAAATACCAACAAGGCGGCTGATTACCCTACGATTAGCATCGGGCAAAGTCTACAAATAGCCTATCTTTGGCTGATGAAATCCTCTATCTTATTCCTTTGATGCCTTGGGGTCTACATTCTGCTTCGACGAACACAAAAAGTTGCAACAACTGACCAAAGTCACTCTGGGTTCTGATCAGCCAGTTAGGACCAGGAGACACGTTCACGATGGCGAGAGAGGAAAGAGAAGGAACATATCCGCACAGTGTTGCCATTCAAAATCTTTGATCCTGAACAATGAGAAGAAACAGATGACCATTCCTTCGGGAGAGATGCGTCTCAGTGGTTAATAATTTAGGTAATTTTAACATTTTAATATTTTAGATAATTCATAAATTTAATTGAGCTACTAGTTCAACGTGACAAAATTCCAACACGAGCACATGACGAACCTTGGTATACGCAGTGTTGGGCGGTAACGAAGTAAAAGTAACGCGTTACAGTAACTAAATACTTTTTTCAGTAACTTTTAAGGTAACGAGTTACTTTTCAGGGGAGGGTAACGGAACTGGTAAATAGTTCCTTTTTCATGGCTAAAGTATGTGGCGTTACTGTAACGCGTTTCTTTTCTTGATGATTTATTAAATTTGCTGAAATCAACCAGCGCTTCATGGCCACATGCATCCTAATTGATGCAATATTGGGAGGAAAGACGGGGACATGAAATTGCCTTGAGAAAACATGGTTTATTCAGTGCAGGTTTCTTGGCCGTACCTGCAAAAATATTTCAATGTGCGGGTCAGAAACAAATTCGAGAGTTCCATCGATGCAGTGGCGTATTTTACGGGGGGGTAGCCACCTACAGGCGCCTCTGGGAAAGAGCCTAGCCCCACCTTAGAGGTAATACTTTTCTCTCGGGTGGAGTTTGGCTCTATTGCCCTGCCCCCCCCCCCCCACCCCCCCCACCCCCACCCCCACCCAGACCCTTCAGCCAAAATATGTGACTGCATTGATGCAAACTTTGGTGTGAAGTGTTGAAAGTGACACTTTCGGTCGCACGAACTTCAGCATCTAACTTGAGAAAGCATGTCTAGATGAGTTCCATCGTGTCCTGACTCCATACAGACGGTCTACGTTTGGTCTAACGTTAGATCTGAATGATAGGTGTTGCTTTGGTTCTGATAGTGCATCTGCACGGAAACCTTTCGTATGCATATAGTTGGCACCTCTCTCTTCAATTTTGTCCGATCCCCTTTAGGCTCGGCGGGTGGGTATACCCTAACTGCCTCACCATATTTCAAGTGCCCTATTTTAGCACTCTCCCAACAATCCATCATTAGTTAGACTCCGTTAATACTCAGACCTAGCACTTGCACTTCGAAGTGAAGAGCCTAACTTAATAAACAGTGATTTGCAAGTGAATACGTACCACTTTTAACACGAACACCTCAGACCCAATTCCCCATATTTCATGGTTGAAACACCCTCATCTCCTTGATTGCGCTTTAAAATACCATTACATTGTAAAAAGTTAGTGAAAATTATTCTTCAATCACTGTATAAGCTGAATTTATGCAGTCCGTGTCTGGTTAACACTTACTGCCAAGGGTTGAATCGCCCAGCCATCCTCTCCTTGCCAAGAAGTTTTCAGAGCGACAGTGGAGGTTCCCCACCCCGAACACGTCAAGACTGCCGGAGATTGAAATGTCCAGCCGAACACTCTTTACGAAGCACTTCTCAGTAAACGAAGACGTTTTGGCATTGCTTTATTTAAAATAAAAAAACAAGTAAATCTCGTCAATCTT